TTTTGTACATTTTATTTGCTGATTTGCTCCTGATCTTCTTTAGTTGTAGGCGGGCTTCTTCTCAAGATGTAGTGGAGAGAGAGGAATGCGAGGATCTTCATCTTCAATGATGACCTTTATACTGTATAGTATAAAGATTAAAGTTGTGCATTGGGGATCTTTCCAATCTTTTTGGTGGATGATGTAATAAGAACTTGGGCTGAAGTGACAAACTCATCTAAAGTGAAATATAAAGTGGTGATGGTATGGAAATCACCAGCAAATAACAGAATAAAGCTGAATTTTGATGGAAGTTCTTTGGGCAATCTGGGTCTGGTAGGCATAGGGAGTGTATTCGAAGATTCTTTAGGTAAGGTGGTGGCCATGTACTTGGGACCAATCAACATTGGGGATTATTTGAGAGCTGAAGTTTTGGCACTGTTGCAAGGAGTAAAGTTAGCAATGCAACTTGGGTTTCAACTGGTGGTGGGGGGGATTCAAAAATAGTTACATCTTGTCCAAGATGTAGTAATCCAGCTTCTTGGCTAATGAGAAGGGTGCACACTCAATGTTAGGAGGACTGATTCGTTAGCTAAACAGGGGGTTAACAGGCAGGAGAGCTAAAGTATAATTCAAATTCCTGTTATAAACATAGGCTGTTGGAAATTCTCCCAATATTTGTTTCTACTAATTATGATCTAAGGTAATTAATAACATTCTTTCTTTTGCTGATAAAAAACAGTTTATTAGAAACTTCAGCACCACCGTTACATTAGTAAGAAATTACATGATGAAAAGAAAATTGAATGAAGCAAAGAAGATGAGGATGGCTTGCAATTGATTAAGGAAAGGCCGTGTGCAACAGTAACTCTTGCTTTGGAAAAATATTTGGAGTGGAGTTTGCTGCATCTGTAGTTGGCATTTGAAGCTATTCTTAGCCAAAAGGGATGTTTGATATCTTTCTATAGCGAGGCATTGAATGTTACATCTAGAAGATACAATACCAATAATAAGGAGTTTTATGGATTCACTCAAGCCCTTCAACATTGGAGATATTATTTGATCCATTATGAGATTGTTCTACTTTAAATTCATGAGGCCTTGAAGCGTATTAATAGCCAATAAAAGTGGAATCTGTTCGAGTATGCAGATAGTAGTATGTATGAGGGGTGGAGTTATTTTAGGAATTTATATTTAGGGACTTCAATGTGATACAAGCCCAATTGGAGTCTTACTTATAAAATATTAAGAGTATAATATTTTAGCCCCAAAATTTTCTCTTCTCCTGGATCACTTTGTTCTCTTCTCTGTTGGTGTGAAAATTTCAAGAAATCTTGTTGTTTATTATTTTGTTTTAATTTATTTTATTTTTTTGGGGTAAGGCTCATTCAGGGAATCATATCATATAGATTGTTCCCCTTTTGATTCTTTGATTCTGACTTAGAGAAAGCAGAGAACACCTTGTGATTCTGACTTAGAGAAATGAACATATAGGACAAAAAAGGAATAACAAAGCATTCTTTGAAAAGAAATTTCCATTTGCATTTCTTTTCATATTTCAAGTGTACAAGAATGAGAAATAAAAGATGCAATTGAGAAAATTAATAACATCACTTTTCTCTTTTTCTTTTCTTTTCTTTTCTTTTTTTTTTATACAAAGGAAATTCCTTTCTCACTCCTTTCTTCTTTACAATAAGCTGTAGTCAATCAGACAATACTCTGATTGTAGACAGCCTTAATCTTCTAGACTTTGCATATCTGAAGGGAACTGTAATCAGTCAAGTTGAATATTTGACTGTTAGATAGTTTTTATCCCTCCTTTCTTTGTTTGCATTTGAAGGGGACTATAATCAGCCTTCGGGAATAAAGTTTAATTCCTAACTTTCCTTGATAGAGGGGCCATAATCAACCAAGTGGAAGCACCTGGTTTTTGATGGTTTATTTCCCTCTACCTCCTTTCTTAGAAGTAGAACAAAAGAGAGGAGAAGAATACATATTATGAAAGTAGAAGACACATATAGGAGTTATTTGCAAAGAGGGCTTCCCTTCATGGCTTCACCTACTTGTGTTAGTGAGATTTCCTTTTCTCTTCCTTATCTTCCCTTTTTTCCTTTTATCAAAACTTCTCTTTTCTTCTCTCTTTAATCTGGCTTTTCTTAAGACTCTCTAGGAGTGGAATACTCTGAGACACAATTTTCTCCAAAGAGGCCCTCCAGTTTCCCTCTAAGGAGCTTAAATAGGGAGTGGGGTAGTTATGTAACTACCCCCTCCCCCTAGGTGAAGGACACTTGGCTTTCCCACTTAATGAGAGGGAACTGCTGTACGAGACACCTCATTTGATTCTGATGATTTTTCTAGCAACTAGCCAACCTAATATTTGAGTTATAAACTATTTTAAGTTTATTTGGGTTTGTTAAAACAAATTCCTTCAACATCACCTTATTCACTTATTGTTCTTGTTATCTTTCATTAGTTCATGTTTATTGTTTGGCATTTGAAGCAGTCTTCTTAGTTTGATCTCCCTACTTGCAATCTCAGTTTATTCTCTTTTGGTTCTTACTGTTAGATCTGATTTTACTATAGATAGTAAGTCAAAATTTCATTACAAATAGTAATTATGAGAATTACTATTAAATAATTAAAAATTACTATAAACAGTAATTTTGTTTTACAAAAAATAGTAACGTGTATTTGGCTGTACCTACCTAGTTTTTGGACAATTTTGAGTAATTTTTTTTATGCCTTAAAGTGTGTCTTGGTGAAAATCAAGAGAATCTAAAGTATTACAAGGGAGTTGAATGTTGCTTTTAAATGGGTGAGAAGAACAGCAAATGGGGTGGTGAATTTCGGGTGGGACTCAACGGAGGTGAGACACTCATATGGTGTTAGTGTATGGAAAGGAATCATGAGCTTTAACTCTTTGATGGTCCCCTTTTATTTTGGAAAGTGGGGAGTTGGTCGAGTATTAGGTTTTGGGAAAATGATTGGTCTGGGGTTGGGAAATTCTGTGAAATATGCCCAAGGCTATACAATTTGAGCAGGAAAGGAGTGCCTATCTCGGAGTGTTATGAAGTAGTTAATGGTGCAGTGATCTGGAACCCAAATCTCAGAAGACCCCTGTACGATTGGGAGGTGGAGTGCATGGAGCTGTTGGCAAAACTTCAGGCCTTGGAGATCAATCCTTCAGTTGCAGATGTCAGATTATGGAAAGAATGTAAGGATGGAAAGTTTACAGTCAAATCAATGTACTCGACTTTGATCAGAAATCAGGTGGAGGCTGATCCAGTTAGGGGCGTTTGGGGGAAACCAGTGCCTCCAAGGGCTGAAGCTTTTGCTTGGTTGGTTGTGAGAGGTTGCATTTTAATCCAGGATAACCTGAAGCTCAGAGGCCTTCAGTTTCCAAGTAGGTGTGTGCTGTGTTTTTCTGAAGAGGAAGATGTTTCTCACTTACTACTTAACTGCAAATTCACATTTCCAGTTTGGTCCTATTTCTTCAAGCTGTTTAAGGTGGACAGAAGCTCTATGGCAGATCCGGCTGAAATTTTTAGTTGCTGGCCAAGAACCTGTGGTGGCGTTAAATCTAAGATTTTATAGACCTGTATTCCCTTTACTGTGTGCTGGGAGATCTGGAAGGAAAGAAACCGAAGACTCTTTGAGGAGAAAAAGAGAAGTATGGAAGAGATAGTGGCTGTTATCAGTTCGACAGTTATTGGTTGGGTTCTGCTGCTTCTGGAGTTTCAAGGATTGAGGAAGGAAGATTTTGGTGTTGATTTCTGGATTTCTTTGAATGCATAAAAGAGTGCTGATGTTCTGTTTTGTCTTGAAGCAATTGTTTTGTTTTGAAGTGATGTTATAATGAGTCTTTTTGTTTTTCTGGTGGTGGTGACATCTTGTCACCTTAGTTATGTTTGTACTTTTTTCCTTTTAGCAATAATTTTTTTCTTTATTTATCTTCAAAAAAAAAAAAAAAAGAACAGCAAATGGGATGGTGTATACTCTAGCTAAACAAGGGGCTGTTAGGCATCAAATGTTTTGGGCAATGCTGTAAAGTAGTTGTTTGGGGTGGAGAAGTTTGAGAATCTAGATATTATCATATCGGTTTCATTGGTATTTTTCTTTTCAAATCTAACATGGTACTCTGACTTTTACAGCTTCGTATAAATTTCTAGATGCAACAATGCAAGTTTTGTTGGATTTTGTAAAGAATTGAGTGAACACCCTGTGTTTTTCTCTTATTATTTTTGTTTGATCTGGTCCAGATAAAACAATCTAGTGTATCTGATCAAGTATATCCCCATCACATACTGTCATTTTAGATTTGTCAGTCTGGATTTTTCATTCTAGATATTAAAACCTCGAAGAAACAGCAATCTGTATTAGGCAGGTTTATGTCTTTGGGCTTTTACCCCCATTCTCTGTAGGATCCTGGTTGTCCTTGCTCTTCAATTCTAGCCATATCTTATAATTAATGATGGATTTTTTTAGAAATTCTCAAGTAACAACTCTGCCATTGGAATGTGATTGGCAAATTTTTTCATTAACCATTTCTGAGGGCTCAGTTTGGGAGGACTGCAAATGCAAGGTTTAGAAATACCATATACAAGTTTCTGTATTGTACATATTTGTATTTCTACTCTTCCCAAATGGAGCCAAGTGTTCTATTGCACCGTCTTGAAACTTGCCGGTTTTAATTTTTTTCTCATCACTTGTCATTTGATGATGGTGGAATCTTGAGGGTTGGGTACCTGAGAGTAAAGCTTTCCGCTTTGCTCTTTGTTCTTCTTGCCTGTTCAATTTCAATGAACAGATAACCCAGTGCTCAAGTTTAGCATAGGTATGAATCCTTTGTCCTCAAGTTTTGTACATCATGACATGCTTTTCACTTTATTGTATGTTTGTTTCTTGTAATTCATTGTAGAATATCTAATGCTCATTTCAAAATTATGATTAAATTATATTGATATCATACTACTTTTTGAATCATTTTCTCTGAATAACTAGTTGGGAATGTTTGTTTTCAGGTACAAGGAGCTGTTTTTGATCTTCCAGAGGAAACTGCTAGTGAGCTGCTGAATAAGCAGACACCTCCTGGGAACACCATCACCAAGATTACTAAGGTTGGTTTTGTACTGCACAAAATCTTGCATAAAAATCATTTCATCTTTTTTTTTTTTTGATCAGCAAGGAAAAGTTTAATTTATTAGTAGTTAAAAGAGGCTAGTACAATAGGAGGCTAGACTGCCAACCCAAACATTTGCTGTCTTATGACTCCTTGTTTAGCAAGGGTATCATCCATCCTGTTTGCAGTCTGTCTAACCCACATAAATTCCACAATCAGTTCCTTAGAGTGGCTTTCCACTTCCCTAAAGGCGTGTCTAAAGGTCCACAGAGTATGACTGCTACATCTTGCCCATGAAATAATTGACTTTGAATCTCCTTCCACTTCTAGATGCTGGTAACCCAGTTACTTTGGTAGTCAAAGACCTTGCAACAAAGCCATCAATTCAGCTTTCAGAGAGTTTCAAGTTCCAATATGCCTTGGATATAAAGCTAATACCTTTCTATCAGGGTTTCCGAAGGCTGCCTCTATTCTTGCCATCCTCGGATTGCCCATGGAGCTTCCATTAAAATTCAGTTTTAACTTGGTACCTTCTGGAGGCTTCCATTCCATGATTATCCTGTCCTTTTCTCTAGATGAATATGCCACCTGCATCCAAGCTCTTATTATTTCATTCATCAAGAAGACCTTAAAGCTTTCCACCATCTTTACGTATGTTCTTTATGCTGTCAATTACCTCCTCCACTGATCTATTTTTTCCATTTAAGATTCTCCCATTTCTCTCTTTCCAGATTACCCAAATCACTGCTGCCTTAACAGCTGCTCTTCACATTATTCTCTCTTTTCTTTGGCTGTCTCAAAAAGTTAGGATTGTAATTACCAGCTACCTCTTGAGAGGGATCTCATCTGCACCCAAAAAGAGAACAAAATACTCCCAAATACAATGTACAGAGGAATATAAATGGGATAAAGTCTCACCACTAGCCTTGCACAGAAAGCACATATGAGGATAGAGGCACATATCACAAGTATTATCTTTCCAAGGAAGACTTCCCAACAGAAGGCTTGAACCTTAGGTGGAATTTGCTTACTTCAAATTTCTTTCATCGGGACGCCTACCCCTGGAGAGTTAGACAGAGTGGGGTTATTGAAAAAAGAGGCACAAGTGAATAATCCATTAGGAGAGGCAGTCCAAATCCTAGTATTGTCAACATTCTGGTCCAAAAGCACAAACTCCAAAGTGCCAAGAAGGTGAGCAAGAGACACATTCTCTCTAAGACATCTTCTGAAGCCTAGGTCCCATTTTATCCCTTGGGGAGGAGTACCCAACCTGGAAACAATTTCACCTTTAAAGTTTGAGAGATTATAAAGCAAATGAAACTGTGATTTGGGGAGGGGATGGAAATATGGTATAGTTCGAGAGATTATAAGAGGTATTTTATTGATATAATGTGTTTGGATTATCCTCACATTTAATATACAGCCTATTGCAACTAATACAATCCAATTTTTTCTGCTATGATTGAGACAGGAGACTGTAGGCCATATTGTTGCATTGGGTGTAATAGGCATGTGAATCCAAGGATTCTCATGAGCTTTCCTTTGAGCCCATGGGATCTTATGGTGTGATGGATGTTTGACATTATTAGCCAAGGACTCCTTGAATCCAAAGGATTCTCATTGGCTTTCCTTTGAGCCTATATGATCTTATGATGGGATGGATGTCCTGCATTATTAACCGATGACTTTTTTATCATCTTGGTTAACATCATTTCTTTTATCTATATTTCCAATCCTAATCTCATCCATCACAATTCTGACTACAGTGGATGAAGTTCCAATAAAAAGATATACCACTGAAGTATTTTATTTCATACATATTTTGCAGTTGCCAGCTTTGCAGGATGATGGTCCTCCTGGTGATAACTATGGAAGGTTTTCCAACAGAGAACGTGGCTCCCGAGGAGGTTCTAGGGAGCGTGGGGGATTTAGAGGTTCACGGGGTTGGGGTAGTGGCCGAGATTCTGATGATGAGGATGGATTTCGACGTGGTGGTTGGAGTTATAAAACTGATAATAATCGGTCTCGGAGGTCAAGAAGCAGTGGGGATGATTGGCTAATTGGTAGTAAACGATCAAATCGATCGTCATCCTTTGGGAGTAGGGACAGGTATTTACTTACTTCCATTCTAAAGACCCCATGTTTTCTCAATATATCTTCTCCTTTTTTCTTGATCAATAATATATCTTCTCCCTTTTTGTGGATGCAATTTGATGAAAAGACTCCTCTAATAATTGAAATGTTGATAAAAAAAGACTAACAATTGAAAGAAGCCCTAGAATACCAAGAAAGAAAAGAGAACAAAAATGAACCTTGAGCAGTGGAGATGATTATGTTGCCCCCAGAAAGTTCCCTTTGGTCATTCTCAGTTAAAGATAACTGGGCATCTCTTATACTCGTCCTTTTCTTTGAACTGAGTCAGCAAACATCTCTACGTTTCTGATTGTGTTGTGCTGTTTTAATTGAAAATGATGATTAGGGCATAATGCAATTTTGATAAACTACTCTTATCTTTCTCAAAAAGAAAAAAAAAAATGATAAACTAGGCAAAGCTATAATAGTTTAAATGTGCTTGATTCAAATGAGAATGCTTATCCCTTGATTTGACTTTTATCACTGTACATATTATCTCTATTTTGGGATGGTCATAAAAGAGTGCAAGGTTTAGCTGAACGCTTAGGCTGTTCAGCGGGCTGTGGAACTAATGATAAGGTTCCACGCCAGTAATAAATTACATGGGACCCGCACCTTCCACAGTGGGCCCCATGAATTTATTACTGGTGTGGAACCTCATCATTGGTTCCACAGCCTGCTGAACAGCCAAAGCGTTCAGCTAATCCGAATTCCATAAAAGATGGATTTGCCTTAATAAGCTCTTATTTGGCTGAGAGTTCATCAGTTCTGTCAGTTCTCTCAAGCTTTACCCTTGTATTTTCACATGTCTTTTAATATGAAAAGAAACTATGGTGTGCTAGATCAGGATATTTCATCCAGGTTTTAATCAGTGAATTATATGGCTACAAATATAACATTGGGGTAGGTTCATTGTATGGTTATCAAGGTGCCTTTGTGCTATGCTATATTTGTATGCATTGGATTCACTATAGTGTTGATTTATTGCTTTTCATATTTGTTTGAATTCTTGCTGTACAAATTAGTGATTTTAAATATTTTCTACTAGACTACTACTTCGCTGAGTGGAATTTATTATATTGTATGGTATTGAAATTTGTAATTAAAAGTGTCATTGCCTTGAGAAATTAATCATACAATGTGTTTTGATATCACTCGAGTTAGAATATGATCTGAAATCTGTAACACGTCTAACATCAATTGATTCAAGATGGATTCAAGCAGTGACAGTGGAGAAAAAGTAGAGAAGGGAGAAAGAAATTGTATTTTGGGAGCAAAACTAAATAGGTTGTGTGTCCCATTTTATTCATTAAAAGAGAGCTTGACAACAAAATGATTAAATGAAAAATCTACTCATAGTGGGTGGCAGCAAGAAGGAGCATAAGAAAAGATAGATATGACAAAGCTGATGCAAATATGGAAGCAGAGAAAGCAATGAAAGATAAGAGGTCAGATAGTAGACCTGCAGAATGCATCATCAACCAGAAAAGAAGTGACTGTTTCATTAGTCAAACTTTGTTTGATTTATCTGAAATTTGACAACATTTAAGTACTACTTAGAGTACTCCAATACTGTGGAATTTCAGCTCAATCCAACATATAGAAGTGCCCCAGCTAAATACTTTGAGTTGGCTAATTTTTGAGTTCTGCTATTGGTCAAAGCCCTAGTGACCAAGTTGATTAGCATTTATAGTAATTCCATCATTACTATTTATAGTAAAAGTTTTTTTTTTTTTTTCTGAAAGGTTAGGTAAAACTTTTATTTATGGAAGAAAGAAAGGAATACAACAGCTTCCCGGTACACCTCACCGGAAAGGGAGGAAAGCACATTACAAACTCCAAACAGACTGAGAGTAAAGCATCTGAAACACATTTTGATGCTTAAACTGTCAAGACTGTTGGAACAGACCAACAGAAGGCAGTTAGTCAGTTTTACAAGAGGAGGCCACATCAGCTCAACTAACCATCCACTTGTAACAACTGCCATCCAATTGAACTGTCAAGACTGTTGGAACAGACCAACAGAAGGCAGTTAGTCAGTTTTACAAGAGGAGGCCACATCAGCTCAACTAACCAGCCACTTGTAACAACTGCCATCCACTTGTAACAGCTGTAACAGTCAAGATTGTAACACTATAAGTAGTAGAGCAGAAAAGGAATAGAGGAGGACTCTTTCAGCATTAAATTCTCTCTCTCTCTCCAAGAATTCAGGAGGTTGGCCCCTCGAAGAGCCCTGAGTTGGGCAAGTTCCTAACATAAACTCAGAAATTACAGAAATCCAGGAGACGAGTTTGTTCACAGACATCTGTATCAAGTCTTCCTTGTTTTTCACTTTGTTGCAGAAAACTCGACTGTTTCTCTCAGCCCAAATAGTCACTAGAACAGCCACAGGGATGGTTTTCCAGATCAGCTTCCCCTTTTTCTTCAGGCCAGACAGCCTCCAGCAACATAACAAGTTTTTGACAGAGCTGGGCATGACCCAGTCAACCCCAGCAGCTTTGAGGAAGGGATCCCAAATCTTGGCAGAAATGTGGCAGTGGAATTTGCAGCCCTCTCCTATCCAAATTAACTTTTGGAAGGCACTTATATAAAAAACCCAAAACAAGGAAGTTTACCTTAGAAGGGCTAATTGGGTTCCACACCTGTTTTCTTGGAAAGCCAGCTACATCTGTCTTGCTAATGTGAGCAGCCATAGACATGACTGAAAAAAGACCATCCACACTCCACTTCCAGCTCCAATCATCATCCTTATTTGCTGAAATGCTTTGCCTCTGTAAAATTTGCATGAACTCCAAAAATTGTTCCAGCTCCCAGTCAAAAAGATTTCTTCTAAAGAGAGGTCTCCAAGAGGAGGAACCACCACTCATGTCATAAGAGTCAGCAACTGAAATCTCTGGGTAAGCAACACACTGATAGAGAAGGGGGAAGGCCTCTGCAAGAGGAGTGTCCAGAAACCAGGGATCTTTCCAGAATTTCAGTGTTTGTCCACTACCAATCTTGAAACCCAGACCAGCTGAGAAAGCAGGAAGGGACTTCAAAATTCCTTTCCAAAGGGAACAACCCCAATTCTGCAGTGGATCCAATGATCTCCAGTTACCCCAGTCCACCCCAAATTTAGCTGCAATTAGATTTTCCACCATGCATTCCTTTCAGCTCCAAACCTCCATAACCATTTGCTTAGGAGGGCAGTATTGAAAATTTTTAATTTCCTTAAGCCCAGGCCTCCTTCCTCTAAAGGCAAGCAAACCTGATCCCACTTAACAAGATGAATTTTCCTTTCATCTTCCCTACCTCTCCAAAGGAAATTTCTCTGGAGGGATTCCAATTTCCTTGCCACCTTGGAGGGGATGGGAAAGAGAAAAGGAAAGTAGGTGGGGAGATTTGAGAGGGTACTCTTCAAGAGCGTCACTCTACCTCCAGAGGAGAGGTATTTTGTCTTCCAGGAGGCTAACTACCTTTGTATCTACTCAATTACAGGATCCTAGATAGAAGTAGAGCTGCACTTTGTTCCACGAGGGATCCCCACATATTTCCCTGGAAGGTGATAACTTTACAAGCCAGAACTTCAGCCAAGATGATTGTTTAACTGTCAAACTAGGCTCAAGGTGATTGCTTGAGTCTATATAAGGACTTTCTGAACTTGGAAACTCTATTGCCCCTTTCATCATGGTAGAACCCAAGAGGAAATTCCATGTAAACCTTTTCATGCAAAATGCCATTGAAAAAGTCATTTTCCACATCTAGCTAATACATAAGACAAGAATAGAAAGTTGTCAAAGACGAAAGAACTCTAACTAAGTTCATCTTGACCATAGGAGCAAAAATCTCCAAATAATCCACTATATACTTGAGTATATCTCTTAGTACCATCAACATTACCCATCTACAGCCAAATGGACCATTACCCTCGGGCCTTGCATGTTTGCCTTTTCAACAAAGCATCCAAGGTTTAAAATGTCAATGTTGGTCATCCAAACATAGGACATGTCAGAAATGTCGGATGGAAATATTATAAGAAGTATAGACACAATGGAAATATTGTGAAATATGTGGAAATATACAATGATATTTTGTGAACTGATAAAAGAAGCATCAATACACCCTTCTAGACTATTATCTTATTCCAAACCATCAAAAACAAAATAATTTTAGACTTATTTGTTCCATCACCTACTAGTATTCTATGTTGCCACCCAACATCTCTCGGCATTTAGTATTTTTATGGGTCTGCATAAAGAAAAAGTAAATATTATAATACAAGATTTACTTGTTATAACAAAACAAACATTATTGTAATAATGTTTCTATTTAATTTATCCTAATTTTCTATATTTATTATGCTTTATATTATTAATTTGTGTATTAACATTTTCTAAAACATCATACTTTTTAGTTAAGCATTATAATTTGCAATAGTTATTAAGGTTACTTTTAATTTTATTTTAAAAACTATTTGTTAATATATATATATATATATATAATCTTATCAACATGTTTATTAATTAAGTTTTATTCTGATTGATTATAAATGTTAATTGAAAATAAAATTAAGTCATGTCATCCATATGAGCCAAAAATAATAAGTTAACTAATGACTATTTAAGTAACTTATTTTTTAATAATACAATATACTTTGAATTAATATTTATAGTATATACATGTTTATAATCATTCTTTATTAATATAATAAACTATATTATTTAATAATTCATATATTATTAAATCTTTTATTAAAGATTCCATTTCATTAGTTATATTCTTCAGTATCTAAAAAACTTTTATACAGCTGCATGTATAGTTGCGAATCTTGGTTTAGTGTTAAACCAAGATTCCATTTGAGAGAATGTTCTATTGTGAGGGTCTATAGACCTTTCATAGACCCTCACATATATAAGTAAGTTTAAGTGGTTTCACTATTCATAAATCAAATTTCACCTTAAGAAGTAAGAAGAGGTGACAAGAAGAAATTTAAGGCTCCAAGCTAGCTCAATTGCTGAAAATTGAAGAACTCCAAATCAATGTTCTTTTGCAGGCCAGCCGCTCATCTTTTGCAACTTGACTAAGAGAGGGTTAGTCCATACATGAATATGTTGAGCTTTTCTGGCTTGAATAGCCTGATTCTTTCTCTCAAAAAAGAAAACAAAACACTTGGTGATTTGGAGTTGGGTAAAATTGGGGACTTCAAGAAATATTGGTTGGAGAGGGAATTTGAAGAGGAGAAAGTGTAGAAAGCAATCAAGGTGATGAAGAGGGACAATCCCCATGGCGGGATGGGTTCAGTATTACCTCTATGTTGGGGTATTCTCAAGAAGGATATAATGGAAATGTTCAAGGAGTCGTGGAAGAAAAAAGAGCTAAAGAAGGTGCAAATGTCACGTTCATTTCCCTCATTCCTAAGTTGGAAGGGGCATTTAGAGAAAAAGACTTTAGACAAATAAACTTAATTACCATTCCATATAAGACCATTGCAAAAGTCTTGTTAAGAATGTTGAGATCTGTTTTGCATGAGGTAGTAGGGCTTACTTAAATGGCCTTTTGTAGAAGGAAGACAGATTTTGGATGGGGTGTTAGTGGCAGGAGAAAAGTGGGAGAGCAGGTGGGATTTGTAAACTTGACATTGAGAAGGCATATATGATCATATAGAGTGGGGTTTCTTGGAAGAAGTGCTTGAAATGATAGGTTTTGGGAGGAAATGGAGAAGCTGGATTTTTGTTTGTGATTAGTACTTGGAGATCCACTTTCTCCTTTACTTTTTGTTTTGGTTGCAGAAGTACCATGTAGATTGTTAGTCCCAATCAGTACAATTACAATAATATGTCTCGTTTTTGATCTAGACTAGATTATGTTAATATGTTTTGTAATCATAAATTAGACCTAATAGGGGCCATTTGATAACATCTGAAGTGGCTGAACTGGGTGATTTAATACTTTTTGTTTTAGTGAATAAGTCATTCAGGAGGTTGCAAGTTCCTTAATGGATAAAGTTGAAGTTATACCCTCAAATACTTAATTATTTAACTATTTTATTCACTTAAAGAAGAAATAGTAAGTCATTCAATTCATCCATTTCCGCTGTTTGGAATGGAACAGCTCTAGTTTCAAAGTTGAATTAAAAACCCAGTCCAAAGGCTTAACCTAATTTAGTTTTCCAAGTCAGTCATAAACCTAGTCCTGAAGCTTCTAAACTTGTTACATAGGTGGTAATCTCAAATAAAATAGCCTTGTCCGGAGGATGTGTTCATTAGCTTGTACCGAATAAATTACAGGTTTTATTTGCCAAAGCCACTGCCTATTTGGTGCCTATCACTTGGGTGACTAGGCGGTACCTTGACAAAGTGTGGTCCATTGGTAGTTATTTATGGAGTGCAAAATTTCTCATTTAACAAATCTTCACTTGTCTTTTCTAATTTTTAATTTTATTTTAATATTTTGTGGTTCAGTACAAGAGCTGATGTTATTGCTCAATTGTGTATGACAGAAGTTTTGGAGGGGCATGTTTCAACTGTGGACGATCTGGGCACAGGGCATCAGAATGCCCCAATAAGCAAGATTACTAATGCTTTATGTTGTCAAATCAGGTCTGTTACGACTGTTTGAGCAGATTAGATGATGTTCTCCATTGTTTTGTAATATGTCATTCCAATTGCAGTTTGTTCAAGAGGCCCAAGAGATTGAGAGATGCACTTGCAATGGATTTCCATGCCATATTTTGAAATCCCTTGTGTATCTCTTTTTCTCTAATTTTTCCCTAAGCATGTTCATGATTCTCGTAATCAACACTTATTCCCTAGATGAAGTTCCAGGTTCCTTCTTTAAGGGATCTTGTAGTTTTCTTATTAACCCATCCATTTCCAAACATGACTTAGCAAATGTGACTTTTTAGTGATGGCTTTATTATAGATCAAGTGATTTAACTTGCGTATGGCAGGGGGACAATTGAGCCTTCATTTATCATGTGTTTGACTTAATCTGATTAAATGAATTCATTCTAATGATCGTTGATGTGCCAGCTCTACAATATGTTCTGGAACATAGGGTAGCGAAAGAGAAAAACCGTATAAAAATGAAAGCTGAGCACTAGATTCGGCATGGTTCCAGGCTTCCAGCCCTTAAAAAAAGGATTCTGCATCGGGTCGTTGTCCTACAGCCACACAACATCAAGATTTCATGAGTTAATTCCCATTAGAGGGTTAGAGCGTGTGGAAAGGAATCTGTTGTATTTTTTTTAATATCTAAATGATATGTTCTGCTCAATCTGGCATTTGTGTTTCTACGATTTCTCATTTTTGAGGATAGTCAGGACTGTAAATGGTTTGAAACTAAATTATGTAGATCAAAAACTGATTCACTCATTTTGATTTGAATCAAATCCTATCCATCCGATTTATATCGGATCCAAATCGAATTTGGACATTGAATGCCATTGATGAATTGAGAGTTTAAAATAATGAACGATTTTGAGCTCGGAACCCTGTCACAAAATTTTGTGAAATAACCGTGTATCACTGTATATTTATATAATTAAATTAGATTAGGGTTCGACTAGGATATGATATGGGGAAAACAATTGACCAATAAATTAGAATCATAAAGGTTGTAGCAAATAAAGTGTTTATCAAAATTAATTGGTGGGTTTTGATTGGTCAAAATTCTTTCCATACCATATCTTTTTCGCATCATAGATTTTCCTATTAGATTATGTTGGTTCTGATAGGTGGATGCATATGGTAAAATCTATGATGCGGGAAAGAAATAATACCGCTGCCCAGAAAAAAAAAAAGAAAGAAATAATACGCTAGGCTTTGACAAGTCTCCCTCTCAATTTTGATGAATACCAAATTACAAACTGATTGCTCAGCTTTCCTGGTATCATAAATGGTAAAAGAGAAATGCAAGAATCTTCAAAAATAAGATGTTATTTTTCAGAAAAATCTGGGAAAAATGCATTCCTGGCTTATGGGCCATTTGTGCTTTAAGAATAAAGTCACAGTTCTCTTTTTGTAAAGCAGGATGGAGTAGAGTTCTGTCAGGGCAGTTTTTTATCAGTCCCAGTGTACATTATCTTGTTTTACATCTTTTATTCTTCTTAATATAATCCTTGCTTTACCTTGGACTCATAAAAAGAGAAAAAAAGAACTTTAATAGGATAGAATTTGGATTTGGTCAAAAGGATACTGATTACAACCCTATCAATGATAAAAGATGTCAAAGTTGACAAATATGTCAAAACCATCATAGGCTTGTGTGAGCAGGTTCAAAGTAAAAGAAAATGAAAAACCAATTTTAAGAGATGAATGGGGATATGTCTTCGATATCTATGGATGCAGTAGAAAAAATATGATAGGCATGGATATGGTAGGAAAGCTCAAATAAATCTGAAAAAGTAATTTGATAAACTAGTCCACCGTCAAAATTCTTAGCCCGGAGTAGGTATTGCAAAATCGGAATTGATGTTTAGGGTGGGGGTATTTGACATTTTGAATTGTTGTAGGTCTGTGGAATTCAGAACTCTGCAGTGGACTGTAGTGTACTTTTCCGTAAAACTAAATCTATATATTTGATAAAAACCCACTCAATTGTTGATTGGTTGTCGTTTTTATGATGTCAGTAATTTGTTAATTATATGCTTTTCCAGTATCATGTCTTTTCAGAATCATAATAAAAAAAACATGAATGCTTGGCGGGTCATGGTTAAAAGGTTTGACCATTGGGTTGAATTGTTTGACTGAGTCATATGAATTATATATAATAGATCTAGCAATTTACATCACATGTTATTGCAAAATCGGTTGATTTGGAAAAGACTGTAAAAGATTGTAAATACAGGAGGGCAAAACATTGGGAATTCTAGTTTTGGGGGGAGAAGAGTATATTAGAAAGTTATTCAAAGAGTTGGAAAACAGTTATCAAATCAAGAAAGTCCCTTACTGTCTGATAATGATCGCAACATTGTGATTTGTAAGTTCAGATAGACTACATTCCTCGTTTTCCACCCAAAATGGCTGAAAGTGGAAATTCCTTTTTCTTTTCTGTAGTACTGGAGATGTGTTGAGTAGAATGGGTAGATGATCAGATCCCAGTGCCGTTAAATGTCAAACTTTCGTTTCCTTGAAAAGTTCCCACCATAGGCCATTTTCCCAAGCCTTGTCCAGCCTCTCTTTAACATGACTGCACCCTTCTTGATTGTTTGATCAAGTGAAGGCTGGTCCAATGAACCCTAAGTCCGTCAACCTTTTATCTCTTCTAAACTCTTCTAGAGATTTTGAAACTTTTCTTGAAGAGTTTTGGCAATGTCCCTTGTATTCTTTCCTATTGACTAAGTCATTAAAGTCTCTCATAATCAACCATGGGAGCTCAATGGCATTTCACTGCGTCTTCAAATGTTCCCAGAATTTTTTCCATACTTTCTTCATGGATGGGCCATATACAAAGTAGCCATCTAGAGATTACTCAATCAATTTTTTTTTTTCTGATTAAATTGATATATTTGGGGCATTGCCCTTCAACTTCAATGTCTAGTTCCTCCTTCCAACCACATATTAGGCCACCCTTCGTCCCCTATGCTTCTACTATTATCCTTCTTCCATGTTCAATTTGGTTTCAGGCATAAATATGATGTTTGGTCTATGTTGTTTAATGAAGTTTTTGATTTTCAACTGTTTTTCTTTCCCACCTCCTCCCCGGATATTCGAAACACAAATTTTCATTTTACTAAAACTGCAAGCAAACACCAAGGATCTAGTGGAGGGTCAAAATAAATAACAAGAGTACGTACCGAAATATGCTCCCTTCATGGAAATATTGCTATGACTTCACTTAGGCATTATGACAAACACCTTGGCTGAGAGAAGCAACTGAGAGTTGCAGCTCACTGAACAAGTTGAAGAAATGAAGAAGTCTCGATTGCTTGTAAATCATCCCAAGAATTCTAGGACCAAAAGTTGTGACTGGTGGCACCAGTCATTAGTATTTATATTAGGGCGTCCCAACTAATAATAAAAGGAAGTAAAACTACAAGAATGCCCCCTGCGGCACTCAAGAACGGAAATATAACAAAGAATTAAATAAGGAGACTAACTAACAGATTTCAACAATAGTAAAAGATGGACTTGCTATTTTTAGTAATTCCTAGTTTCTATGTTTAGATGAACTAGGGAGTTAGTGAGATCACATCCCCGCTGTATATTGGGAACATTTCCCGATGATGACATCATCAGGACTGGTACAATCATCGGGAGATGTATTGTGGGGTGGCTCCTTGTGGGGCCGAGATGTGAACTCAGTTTATAGTATCCTCGTTTAAATAGGAAGTTTCTACTTTTGTTTCGAGTTTCAATACAAGTAGGTCCATGGGAGTTGGAAGTTTCTACTTTGGGTCTATAAAAGGGTGTCAACAGGTCTTGTGGAGAACACATTAAGTTGAATAAGGAATTTTTTTCTTATTTCTGCCATATCCAGCAACTATACTAGAACTACTTGTTGCTTCTTGTTATACTTTGTCTTGTTTATTTGCTTGTTAATATTTGTGGCTGAAGCCTATTGTTGCATCTTGGAAATTTTCTGCTTCAAAAGCCCATTGAGGGTTTGACTCTCATAAAAGATGAATAAAACTAGAGAACATTCTAATATTCATCCTCAAAACTAAGCACATAAATTGATTATTCTCAGCTTGCCTACACAACGACCAAGCTTCATGTTGCTGGCTCCTTTTGTGAAGACATCAACTACCTGCTGCCCATCTCAGCTAAATTAAGACAGACTTCTGCAACTACATGCTCTCTGTAAACCCTTGTGTTTCGTTTGTCATGAATTGGGTTATGGGTTATGGTCACTTGATTATCACAATAGAGCTGTACTATCCCTAATTCTTCTAGCAAAGATCAAATCCACTGTCTTTTGAAACTCTATGTGCCATAGCCTGCCTGATGCTTGCTACATAGACACTTGATTGGGCAATCACTGATTGCTAATTGCTCCATGAAACAAGATTGCTTGCAACTAAAATAGTGTAAGCAGATGTAGATTTTTTGTCCACCTTCACTTGAATATTATGTTTCCAGTAACAAACTAGACCACCTTTGTTTCCATGAGCTTTAATAATTTTCACATTAAAACAATTTAATTTCCTATACATAACTTTAGTGCAATATTGCTTTCATTTTCGGAAGCGATTCCCAATATTTCCACCAGTTAGCTTCTTCAAGGTAAAGAAAAGACTTGAGGGAGTGGCCCTATTATCAAAATCATTTAGGTTCAATTGTTGATAACTAATCCTGAGACGAAAACGAAATAGATTGTTCCTCCCTCTCATTTGTGACTGTGGGTGGCTGCACCAAATACACTCCCTTCCTTTGATTTATCTGATCGACTTTAGTGAAGTTTCACATTTAAAGGGTCTACCCCTTCTATTTGAGCCTGTTGTCGTGTCGATAAGGCCAATGCCTCCCGATATAGTTGTGTAAGGTTGTTGTAGGTTATGCCTTGGGATTTCCGCTGACAGGTTAGGCTTATATAAAATTTGATTTGATTTTTCCTACGTTTGGCCATTCTCGACGACTCATCCTCTTCTTGCTTCAACTACTTCTTCGATGAAGCTTGATTGCCTTTGCATGGCGCCGGAGTAACTTGTAATGCACCTTCCAACTTATGTTGTTTTTTACTAATGTTGTCGTTTTCAGAGTCTTCATACCAGCTATATACTACCTTCGAGTGATTTGCATCTGAATTCAGCACTAGTCAGTCCCCTAGCGCGTCTATTTTCCTCTTCTCCATCTCTTTTAGCACAGCTTCCTAGCTAGTTCTTGGTAGGGGTGGATTCCTTCCGAGCTGAGTCGAATATTGGGTTATTCGAGCTCACAAACTATCAGGCTAGAGTTTGAGCTCAATTCGAATTAAAGACTTGAGCTCGAGTAAAAAGTTCAGAAGTTCGAGCTTGGCTATCTTTGATTGCAGGTCTTCCTTATCTACTGAAGTGTTATGCTAAGGTCCCCTGGCAGTTGAGGTGTTGAGCCGAGGTCTCCCTCAGTTGCTGAGGTGCTGAGCCGAGGTCTCCCTCAACTACTAAAGTACCAAGCTAAGGTTTCCCTAGCAGCTGAGGTCTCCCTTAGTTGCCAAGGTTCCAAGTTGAGGTCACCCTGAATAGCCGAGGTTTTGAGCTGATGTCTCCTTCAATGGCTGAGGTGACATAGGCTCGCGAGCCAAGCTTTATTAAGTTTGAACTCGGCTCGATTAGCAAACGATCCTATATATTAGGCTCGAATTCGACTCAAAGCTTGGTTTAGACTGAATCAAACCGAGCTCGAATAACTTATAAGCAACTCGGCTCATGACCACCCCTAATTCCTGGACTGACTTACCTGTATTTCTTCCATTGATGGCTCACTAGGCTGCAAAAGGATGGTAAGGTTTTCATAGGTGAATCTAATCCATAC